ATATATATATAATATATATAAATATATAAGATATATAAAAAATTGATGTGGGTACTCAAATGAAAGGTCTCGAGGAGTGTAACGTCGGAGTGAGCTTGTATCTAAAAAAATATCAATATTTCACAAGATACAACGTCATTTCTTAATTAAGTATCTAGAGATAGATCCGAATGCAGCCTAAATACTTATCATAATAAATTGACTATCGGTGAGAATGATATGAAACCTTGAAAAGGCACAAATTCAAGTCAAGACCTTTGCAATGACACTAAATTTCACTAAAGAAAAATCGATTTTATCATATGACTATTCTGGAGACAAAATTTTCCTTATTCTCTTAATAATATAGATAAACTTGACAGTTTTCTTTAAAAAAGTAAAATTTTAAATTAAACAGAGTGACTTTTATAAAATTATAAATTATTAATTAAAATATCAATCAATGGTATCTCGTATTAAATAACAAAATTTACTCGAAAACTATTTAATTACAGTAAAAAGTGTAAAAAAACTTTAGAATAGCAGATCTGTAAGCTGAAACTCCGGGAAGGTGGTTTCGTATTCGGCAATGACTGAATAATTACTCAACGCAATTCATGTTAAACCACAAAGAAACACGACTCTGCACCCCTTTCGAGAATGTTTTCCTCGTTGCGCAACCCGGGGTATGCAAGCAAACAATTTAACACCTCCTTTCTCCTTTCTCTCCTCGGCCCTCATCGCACACTATTATTTCCACGTTCTCAATTTTCTCTTGTTCCATTTGCTATTTATTTTCCTGGGCATTTACATCCTCACAATATTTTTATAAATTTTCCCGCATTAATATCTACAGGTCTTTAGATCCAGCGCCAGCGTTCTCATTTCGGGTTTGAAAAAAGCTGTCTCAGTCTTTACTTGCCCAGCCAACGGACCAGCTTCCTTCTTTCTTTTTTTAGTTTTTCCTCTCGAAGAGACTCGGCCACAACTTTTCCGCGTAACAAGCTGCGCAAGACGACAGCCAAACAATTACTTTTATTTACTTTTTCGTTTTTTACTCCTTTTTATAAAATAGCGGGAGGGTTGTGACAATTGTCGGACGTGAAGAATTGAACTTTTGTTGAAATTACGTGGTCGCACGCGCAGCAACTGACACAAACAGATATATACCGGCTATTATTGTTGTTACTTTTATTGTTAAATTTTCCAACCGAGTATTTTTTTTTTTTTTAATATCCTGGGAATTCGTCACCAGTTTTTTTTTGTCATGTTTAATTTAAAACGTGTAATATTCAATTCCCAAACCTTCAAAAAAATCCTAATTAATTAAATGTATCAAAAATTCTAGGCAATTTTTTTTTATCACTGATAGAAGGATTTAGTTCTATTTTATGATATTTTGTAATAGTTACTGGAAAAAAAAAAAATCAACGGTTTGGCTTCAGAACCTTTTAGAGGATGCAAAAAAAAAATCGATTGGTATATGGGGCATTCCATAATGACTGGTAGGACATTTGACTCTGGAATTCTATCAATTATATATAATTATGTGACTGAAAGTTAAACTATAGTGAAATTGATCTTATAATAAAGAAGAATAACTAATTAACAACATCCCTTTGTCAAAAACCTCGATTACTTTTTAAGTTTCTCGTAATTATCATTTGACTGAGTGTGACTGGTGGGACAAGAAAAATCCTTCTCTCTTACCTTGGTATACTTAAAGTCCAATTTCAGTTTGACCATAAAACTTTTAAAAAATTCTTCCCTCTCAATAAAAAATTTATCCTACAAACATTCAATATTATGAAGAATTAGACTGATTACCTACGTAGAAATAATTAAAAAAATTTTTTTTATTGTCACTGGCGGGACAGGCATTTGTGACTGGTGGGACAAGTACAAAATGTCTGCATAAAGTTGTTTATTAAAAAGACTTTTATATTATTTCAACCTTACAAACATTATTGTTTATATATTTAACTATAAATTATTTAGGATAATTATAAAAAAACTAATTAAAAAACACAAATAAAGGATTTAGCATGCTGACAACACGATCTTGATAAACTTAGGTGTTAATTAATAACGAACATAATCAAAATTTTTTCTTAAAACTATAATAATAAATATGTTAGTTAATAACAAACATAAAATGAATTTGTTCTTAAAACTATTGAAACAACATTTGACCCGGATACAAGTTAGTACGGCTGAAAAATTACTAGGAGAGAAAAATCAATTTTCTTATTGATTAAAAAAAATTTTCTGCCCTCCGGCCGGAAAGTGGCAACTTTCTGGCCGCTGCGCTAAACAAAGTTGCCACATTCCGGCTACGTCGAGCAGAAAAATAGTATACACACCTTGGCCAGTAAAAAGTAAAGCCTCAGACCATATGTTTGTCAACCTCGGCTTCGCCTCGGCCAACAATTACATGTGGTCTGAGACTTTTCTTATTTTACTGGCCTAGGTATGTAATATACTATTCTTTACAAATTAGTAAAATATAGACTTTTACTAATAAATTAGAACTAAATTAGAATGAATTACATAAATTATTAAATTTTAGTCATTTTCCCATTTCACATGGAATGCCCCATATAATAATCATAAGAAAAAACTTTACCGATTTTTGAAAATTTTCAATTTTCTTAGTGGGAAGTTAAAAATAATTTATTAAACTGTAACAAATATTTTTTTCTCCCAAATAAATGACTAGAAATTTTATTACTAAATCAGATTATTACTCCTATTATTTGATTATAGTTTCGAAACTTTTTACCCTCTCTATTAAAAATAAAAAATAAAATTACGTAAATATTTAAATAATAGTTGGAGAAGCAAACAAACAATCGAATAATAAATCAATAAAATAATGCAGTAGCAATAAAAATAAAAATAAAAAAAAACATCCAGCGAGATAAAATACTTGGTATTAATTCTGAGCTTTCGCACACCATGGCCATTGCTATCTCTTTTTCTAGATACAAAGCTATGGTAATTATATCGTGCATCGTTAAAACGAGCTTTTCCGTCAGTCGTTCCTTACTTTGGCACACACACAAGCTTTCCATCGCACAAGCGCTTCGCTCCGGAGCAGAATCAACCGAATCTAACTGAACAGAGCGAACCGTAGTCTTTACTTTGTCTTTCTTTGTTTCTGACTGCGTGGAAGAGTTGAAGCTGAAGAATAAAAGGGCTGTCATGTGTACGCTTGTCGAGGATAGATGGCACAGAAGTAGATTAACAACCACCCTTTTTATTATTCATTTTAAATAGTTAAAAACTCTTTCGATAATCTAATGAATTTAATGAACCGCCGAGACGACTCTTATCTTTAATCTTCTACCTTCATTTTTATTTCCAGTAGCTAAATTAATTTTTTATATTTAAATTTCTATATTTAAATTATTTATTCTATCATTCAGCTTGAGGATTTTCGAGATATGGACGAAAATACTCCAGCGTGGAGAATTATTAGCTTATCTCAGATCGATATCTATTTACTTGAATAATTTAGTAATTTTTTAATCAAATTATTGTACGAAAGTTTGTTTGTTAATAACAAATTC